ATCACACTCCTGCCTGCATCACACGCCTGCCTGCATCACACTCCTGCCTGCATCACATGCCTGCCTGCATCACACGCCTGCCTACATCATCACACTCCCTCTCCCTCTCCATCACCCCTGGCCTGAGCCCTCCGCAGGCCTCTGGGCTGGGCAGCAGCTGAGCGCAGGTCCCGCTGGGGCGGAGGAAGGGCAGCAACTGTATGGGGAAAGTTGCCTCTTTCAGAAATGTCCACCAGCCAGTCCTCTTATCTCTGCCTCACATCCGAGTTCTTCTCAAGTATCACTTCAGGATCACAAAGGAACTTGGGATTTGAGATCCACAGACACAGATGATTCAGTAGACATAGCTGGATGCCGTGAACTGTGCTGACTAAGGCAATAAAAACCAGAATATCATTTCCTTTCATTCAAAGCAAATAGGAAAGGGAAAATGATCCAAAAATAGCATTCTCTCACTACTGCTCAAAATTCACTCACTCTTTATCACTCTTCTGCAGAACTGATAGGTAATTGGCTCCCTGACACCCAAAATGTCTTTGCAGAGTTGTGCATGCAGGAGGCAGGGGTTCTGGGATCACACCTGGCTTGAATCCCAGCTCTTCAAAGTGACCTTGGGTAAGTGACTTCTGAGCCACCCCTCGGTTGGCTCATCTGTGTAGTGGGATGATGACAATCGTTTCTATTCTGTGGGGTTACACTGCAAGCCTTCTCGGCACACACGATAGCCACTCCTCCTCCCTTCCACAACAAAGAATGCCCAAATGCCCATAGATCAGTTGAGGAATTCTGGAATATTCAGTGAGGCTATAGACACAAAACACTTACAGGTGTCTAGTTTATTGTTGTAAGTTCTCAAAACCTCTTCTTTTTGGAAAAGCACAGACCTACTGTAACAGGGTGGTGCCCAGGAAAAGGGGAGAATCCAGGTTCCTTGCCCTACCCAAGGGAGGGTGGAGCTGTGCAGGGAGGAGAAGAGTCTGGAGAGACTGAAGGAAGCAGGATGGAGACCAGGGGGAGACCTGAGAGAAGCATGTGGAGCAGAGAGGCAAGTGAAGAAGCAGCTCTTGCTTCTTGGCCCTGGACTGGTTGAAACAATGCGGGCTGGTGAGAGACCCACAGGGAGGCGGACTAAGGCAACGCTTATTGATTTTGATTTTGCTCTCTTCTTCCCAGGCTTGTTGGCCATTTCTGACCCTTTTCTATAGGTCCCTGCTGAAAGGTGCTTTAGACTACGGCAGGCTTTCAGGTCTTGCTTTAGGCCAATCAATTCCTTTTGGGTGGACTTTTTCCACAAAGGGATGGGTGACTTTGGGTGTCTGATTTAGAAACTGTATTCGTTGTCTTTCTGTATTGCACACTGTTTGTATTAAATTCCTTCCCACTAAAGGTCTTATATGTTTGTCTTGATGCAGCAGATGGCAGAACCTCTTTAGATCCGGCAGGTTTGGGGGTCCTGGAGTGCCCCTCTCCTTGCTCTGTAACACGACCCTTTTATTTCCAAACCTGAACCGTTAGGGTGGGATACGGAAATGTTTGGGTGCTGAGAACCAGGCTCACCACTCCAGGTGTGAGTCACACTGTAAATGTCGACTTATTTTATTTAAAGCAGAACTGAAGCTGCACAAGTGACTCAGGGTTAAAAGCCTTCCCAGGTTGCTGTGACTTAGCAGGCTAGGCCAAGAAGAAGTAGTCTTGCCCTGAAGCGCTCCTTCCAGAAGGTACGAGCATTTCAAGGCTCGGACCCCACTGTGCTCTCAGAGGGGCATTGTGGTCACACCTCACCCCACACACAGTAGGGCTGGAAAAGTGTGAGAAAAGGTAGAACCGCAAGGCCTCTATACCTTCCTCACTAGTCTTAAGTGACTTGTTCCTCCCCTGCAGGGTGGTGTGAAACTCTTTCTCAAGTCACAGCTTGGATCTATGCAGTAACTCTCTCCCATGAGCACACACTAGTGGTAGTGGACAGACTTTAAGACATCACCTTGTAGAGGTAGGCAGGGGTTGGTTGCATGGGACATGGCAGCAGGGAAATGTCAAGAAAAGCTGAGTAAAGTATGTGGGCACTGGGTGTGCTAAGGAAGGAATGGTGAAAGAGGCAGACAGCAAAGGCAAGCCAGATTGCGCCTGCTGGTTCTGGGCCCGTGCCCACATCTTTCCTGAGAAGTGGTGTACCCAGAGGCAAACAGGTGGTAGGAGAAGCGAGCTGTGTGTTCAGACTGACTGATACTGACCTGTAACCCTTCAGCTAGCCAAGCCCCGCCTCAGCTTGAGTCACTGCTTGCAAAGCCCCGGGGTAGATGGAGCTGTAAGGGGAATGCTTCTTTTTTGCCCACTATCTCCCAAGCCAGCCAGTGGCAACACCAGTTTATGCCCCAGTGCTTGTCCAGTTCCAAAGCTCAGGCTTTATGAGGGCAAGGGTCATGATGTCAAATGCTTCAGGGGCCAGACAGATGACCTAAGGTTACCCTGGCGGGTATGAGACAACAGGGGCTGTGAAGAACTGCCAGGTTCTGCTGTAAGACATTCAAATTCAAATTTAGAAAGTCACTGGGTCAGTGACCAAACAGATCCACAAACCAAACCAAACAGATCCACAGCCTAAGTGAGGGGGTGAGACCCTTGGATGGTGAGTTGGAGATCCCCATCCCTAAATAAATGGAGTTCCCTGTGCCTCCCAAAAGATGTCTGTTGCGTGAAATTTTCCAGAAATAGGATTTGGGCTACCCAGCTCCCTCTGAAAAGTTGTTCTGAGCAGACGGAGGCCAGGCCTTTGTTCAAGACAACCTTGGAGGAAGCTAGCACCAGCTACCACACCTGCCTGATGGTGGTAGGATCCCCCAAAAGAGGCGTATCTTTTATCTTGCAAACTTTAAAAGGCAAGTTTGGGGTTTTTTTTCCCTTGATTACAAATAAAATTCAAACTCATTACGGAAACACCGTAAAATACAAATAAACAAAATTAGAAAACATATGCACACTTTCCCTGACCGCCCCTTCAAAAACAAGCATTGCTGACATCGCGGTGCACGTTGAGACTCAGGGTACTCTGTCGCACAGGGAAATCTCTTTTCTTTCTGGCGCTGCAATTTGTGAACTCAGCAAGGAGATGTTTGCAAGGCTCTCACACCACCTTGCTTCTCCTGGGGTTGCAGCCATGAGCAGCCTCTCATCAGACCTTGGTTTCAACTTCTGGAGGGCAGGCACCTGAACCTGTCTTACTCGTCCTCGGGCACTCTGCCGCGCTGGGCACTCGGTAAGCGTTTTTAAAGGGTTTCTAACTGCTCTCCTGCTCTCCCCTCTTCATTCCCGGCGCCCATCTCCGCAGCGAAGGCCTGGAGTAGAAAGGAAGCAGAACCAGACCCAGGAAGGAGAGCGCCCTGCGTCTCCAAGGTAACCGAAGTCCGAGCGGAGGGCCCACGCACGCGCACACTCCCCTTCCTTCCCGTAACCCCAAGAAGCACGCAACCCAGAAAAAGAGGCCCAGAGCCCAGCGCGCATGTGTAGTTACATCAGCACCGCAGCCGCCTCCGCCTCTGTCACGGCGTCCGCCCAGCAATCTTTTCTCTATAAACACTGTCCGGAAATAGTGCCCATTTCTGGAAACCGGGCCTCGTTAGCCAATCGTTGCTCGAGGCGCTACGTCGCGCGACACCGCATTGGCTAGCCTGGAGGAGAGGGTGGGGCCACGGGTCGAGGTGCGGCCAGAGCTAGGAGGCGCGAAGAGAGACAAAGTTAC